TAAAATACTCTTTGCATGAATTAAGCTTGGGTTACCTAAATAATCAAAGCCCACCTTCACTGAAAATTTGTGAACCAACTTTGAACCAAACTGCTTCTCCAAACTTGACACCATTTCTTGATAAAAGCTCAGGAAAAACACATCCAAGTGCTCCAAGCATAGCCCATCTTGAATGAATAACATCTGATCCGTCAAACCTCCTCCAAAATTTGCAGAAGTGGACATGGCAACTTTCAAAGGTCTTTTCAAGCTCTTGGGAATGAAACTCAAGGTCTTTTCAAAGGAATTTCGCATACCCATCATCACTAGGTCGCACGCCCAGTTACCGGTCAGTTTCCACTTTAGTTATGAAGTTAGGGTGTTTATGTGAAGGTTTCTAACCGATAGGGGGTAAAGTGTCTTTTCGCGAAACCATAAGGGGGTTCCTCGTATTTTACCCTTTATTATATCTTGAACCTCAAACTTCTAGATCAAAATAACATCCAAATCTAAGCACTTTTTGTCCTCAAATTTCTAACATCCAGTTCACATTACATTTAAAAATCATTACAACCTAGTGTATCACCAAATTTTTTAAGCAATCTCAACAATTTCTATCATATAATTAGTTTTTGTTGTATTTACAAGCTTTCAGCAATTAACTTCACATTCAATTTTTACCCAAAATTTTAAATTGGCGATAGTATTCTAGAACAAACCATTCTTAAAAAAATCAAGCAAAGGTTCAATCTTTATGAACATTAGTTGTAGGCTGAGAGCCTTTCTAAATTCACTCATTTTGGTTGGAAACGACATCTTTTGGAGTTTGAAATTGTTGATGCAGAAGCCATAACTATTGAATATAGCATGCCACCATGGACAAGAAAAATGTTGGTTCTCGAGAGGGAGTCAAGCAAGGAGAGGGATCAAAATCTAGAGTTTAATGGTCTACCTATTCTCATGGGATTGTGCCAGCTACATTGGTTCAGAAAAAGAGAGGTGACCTTTGAACACAGAATTGTAACTTGGATTTGGAAATTTTGTATTGACTATCTGGTCTAAGTAGAATTGTTAATCTAGCCACTCTAGTCCAAATCCATCCTGCTAAGCCCAAAAAATGGATTTTGCCTGTTGAATTAAGCTAGACAAAACTTGGCCCAAATATTAGGTCCGAATTAAACGTGAACAAGTTTAGATTTTATTAGGCTCAACTCGATTAAAGCCCGGCCCAAATAATTGTATATTTACTCATATTATATAATAAATATAATTTATAATTTTGTATTATTAATATTTTTTCTATAAGTGGGAGCTGTTGAATTCAAAACCTCCCACTCATACTCCCTCCTACCTTACCATCTGACCAACACCTCCATGTAATTTATAATTATGCATATTATAATTTAAAAATTAATAGTTAATAAGTAACCATATAATAATACATAAATTTATATATACTTATATGAGTAAATCTTATATACACTGACAGTATATACACTATCATGGTTGGATGCATGACAAATGCAAAAATTGGGTTTCAAATTCAAATTTGGATTATATGTTGTATATCTAATGGTGAAAATATATACACTGTCAGTGTATATAAGATTAATCCTATTTATATGTTAAATTGTGAGTTTAGATTGAATCCAAATTAAACCCAACACTAATAATTTTATGAGTTGAATATGAGCTTTATAGTAATGATCCCAAGGCCGAATGTAGAAAGACCCAAAGCGCTATTTCTTCTATGAGTCAAGATTCGATTTGCTAAAACTTTGCTCACTAGAATAATTTTGAGGTATAATCTTTGTATTATGCCTAAGCCCTTTGAGGTTAAAAATATATTACAATTGTGGTCATCAACAAAATTACAGATTATATTCAACATAAATTATTTGTTTTCTTCTTTTTTAAGCACGAAAATTTGTCTGAAAATGGAGTTAGGATGTGAAGATGAAGTATTAGGTTAAAAGAATGAAGTAAAATTGAATATAAAAATTAGTTTTCAAGGAAATTAGACTGAAAAAAAAGTTAGAAAAAATTTGGAACAAGGAAAAAGGAAGACTTTAAATTCATAAAGAGGGTATAAAGTTGGAGAAATGCAATGATGGGAAATATAGTACAATTCACGGAATCACTGAATATACTAGACAATTAATTGCTGTTAAATAACTAACTTGTCCTTAGATTCCACAAACCGAATAGAATATGGGTTTGCTTTCTTTAATTTACCACAAAAGTCTTCCAACATAACATATTGTCTTATCAGAAAATTTGAACTCTAACAACATCTCATTAAGTTGGCCTCAGGACGCAGAGATCTCCAAGTTCAAATCCCCCTTCCCCTCCCCTTGCCCACTTCTTAAATCCCACCTCTCTCCTATTATAATTTTTTTCTTAAAAAAAATACCTGTCAAATGTTGGCCATTTGTACATTCTATCTAGACTCCTAATCATAGTTAATCCTGCTTCTATTGTTCACTAATTCGTTGTTCCCGACAGAGAATTTCTAATGCAGAACTTTTCCGTACGTCTTTTGAATTTTGCTTGCCGACCAACTTGTTCCTCGGTGGATATGGACATTCAAGTTCTAGATGCTGGTTGCCTATACATTCTAGTGTCACGACTGAGCCTTTTAGCCTCATTTTTTCAAGATCACCCGGGCTCTTGCCCGTGCAGCACCTTTTGCCGTGCCAAACTTCATTTTGAGTCCCATTCACGGAGTCATCACACAAGGAAGAGGTCCAGATTGTCTATCATTATCAAAGGCAAGAACTTTTAACCTGAACATGTTACTTATTTCCACTGGGTGGGCAATTCAGCTCTGTTTATAGTCCTGACTACAACTTATATATATTCCATCGAAATTTTGTTCTGGAATCTTAGGCTGACTAAATGTTAGCCTCACATGTATAAAAATATCTGAGCATGCACTGGAGGCTTCATGCAATATTTTGTGTGTTGAGCTTGATTTAGACCTATAAAGGATAGAAAGCCCCCATGCCAAAGAGATTGCGGCTCAATTGGCTATAGGTTATGATCGTTTGAAAGAGCTGAAGGCTTTTGATGGTACGAAAAGTGGTGTGAAAGGTCTTGTTGATGCAGGCATTACTAATCTTCCCCAGAACTTCATTCTGCCACCTGAAGAGCTAATCGAGGATTTAAACACTGGCCATCTTCAAGTACAAGTTCCAGTCATAAATCTCAAACTTACAAAGGGAAGATAATAACAAATTTGTAGTTGATGAAATAAGGCAAGCATAGGACGATTGTGGATTTTTCCTAGTAATCAATCACGATATTCTAGAAAATTTTGCTTGATGGAATGCTAGATGGAATTTGTAAGTTTCATGAGCAAGATGCTGAGCTGAAGTATGATTCGTCAAGAATTGTTGGATATAAATAGTAACATTGATCTGTATTAATCAAGCGCTGCTAATTGGAAAGACACTTCGATCTTTAGTTTGACAGATTCAAGTCGAGTTGAAAAGGCAAAAGCTCTTTAGCAGGAGTTTAGAACCTAAACTGGCTTGAACATCTTTTTAATTCAGGTCTGTGAGAATTGCAGGTGCGCAACATCAGAAGGGTGAAAAAGTAAAAAGAATATGAAAGAACAACCACTAAGTAGTCTAAATTTACACTTTAGGGACTAAAATATCCCAAAGGGGAAATCCGGATATAATTTGAAGACGCAAAATGGAAATGACATTTTTTTTTCCCAAAAAGTAATTACAGTTCTTAGTGTTAGACATTCAATGAAGCCGAGTCCATTTGCAAAGGGCAATTTCAATGTTAAATGGTGAAAGTAAAGCTCTTTGAGCTGCGTCTTCAGAACTTGGAGCTTGACAGGCAAATCAGGAAGTAAACACTCAGTTTCCCTGACCATTTCTTCTGCGACTGGGTTGGCTGGAAGCCTGTAAGTAACTACTAAAGAGATACTATGCCTTCAGCAACTGCTTCAGTCATTGTGAAGATCATTTTCTCATCCTTCAGTTTTCTCCATTGGCTGATTCATATCTGATGCTATCAAGAATATGATCCCCTCATGAAGAATTGAAATTTGGCGCTTCAGAGGATCCAGCAAACTTGCTTTTAACGTTTAGTAACTCTTATAAAAGAGCCTTGCCTTGAAAGAGCTGTTTCTTTAGAAGAAACTCATTAAGAATATCTCCTGTCTTGTTCCCTGTCTTTCATTTGCATCGAAGTGGTAGAAAGACTCAAGACTTTCCATTTTCTGTCTTCTCCTTTGATCGACCTAAAAAAGATATCCTCAGGTATATATAAACATCTCACAAATAGATTTGAGTTGATCCTTCAGAGAGAGCTTGAGGAGACTTATGCTGTTCACTTGCTCCATGAGAAAAATCTCGTCCCTGGGAAACCAGGTCTTTGCAAACAAAAGGACGAGACCGGTTGTGTATATCCCACAAGCTCAGCAGAGTTTTATTTTATGATATCCTCCCAATTTGTAATCTTCTTCTTTACATGCTCTGCATAACCTAACCTTGAGAAATCCTGCCTCCCTAATCACATCCCAAAAAGTTGCAAAAGTCCAACTGATGCTTAAAATCCCAAAAATAACCTTAAAGTTAATGCCACAGATATGTCATTGAAGGGTTCTGTTTATTGCACAAAGGAATTGTAATTTCTTGACCTTAGTTTTGTTTCTGCAACATTACAAGAAATGCCACACAGTAAGCATACATATTCTGCAGACTTGCATTAGAAAATTTAAACTTACTTTTTGGATGAAAATATATAATGCTTAGCATCTAAACCTATATAGTAGAAGCCCTCTGGCTTTATGTTGTACTACATTCACTAGGAAGGAAACTTGTAGATATCTAATCTGGGAACTTAATCAAATCATGATTAACTTTAGTTCTTCAACAATCTTATGTCCTCTTTTAGCGAGCTTACGCTTTAGTGTTGCTTAACGTTTTTGCCTGCTGAAAATTTTCTTCAGTTTCTCATGAATAAGGCTTACAGAAACTCGTCATTCTACAATGAAATCTCTGAGTGCAAATTCTCCACTACAAAGCTCAAATGGTATCTGTTATCTAAATTTACATCAAACATGTCACAGCTTAATCAGTACATGATACAATACACAAGTAATCTTACTACAAGAAAGAATGAAAATAATATATTTAAGTCCTGAAAAGGAGACCGCTAGTTCAAAGATAAGCATGGTAATCCTGACAAGATTGGTCGAGTCCAAGAGGGTTGAGGAACCATGTCCACAAGTGATCCAGGAAACACAGGATAGAAGCAATTGCAGCCTCATAATAAGCTTCTTGAACATCATTTCTATTTCTACCGCTCAACTGCTGCTGCTGCTTTTCTCCTGCAGGAGTATAAGCAACCAAACAGCGACAGAGCGGGCAAGTGGAGTTCTGCAACAGCCAAGCATCAATGCAGTCAACATGGAATCCATGGCTGCATTCTTCAAGAACCCTGTATTTTTCACCCTTGCAGATGTTGTACAGACAAATCACACACTGCACGCCTTCATGATTCTGATCCTGGTCTTCTTCTGTTTTCATATGCTGCCCTTTGCCGGATGTCGCTGTCATTGTTCTTAAATTATCATCATTATCAGTGGATGAATCAGTAGTGCTAGAACTGCTACCACTGTTGTTTGCAAGTTGAAACCCTTCAAGTGAATTTGAATTCTGGAAGTTGTCGAGTAGGCACACAATTGGGAGGCCTGCAAGCAATGAAACGGCTCTCATCTTTCTTCTCATTGTTAATACAGCTTCTTCACTGAAAAATGCTCTTTCACTTATTCCAGACATCCAAGTTCTCTCAGCCATGATCTTTCTTGATTGATGATTACAGGATATAAAATCAACTTCTCTGCTTCTTGGTGGTACCTATGAGATGTATCTTGAGGACTTCAGCAATATATACTTTGCATAAGCTTAATTTAGCATAGGAGTCTAAAGTATACTGCTAGTTACTCTGAGTTTGCGTGTGAATCTGGGGTGGGTGGATTCTGAGTTGGATTTGAATGGGATGCAAATTTTGACTGCTAAATAGGGAATTGGAATATTGCTGAAGTGGTTACGTGCTTGTGGGAGTGTAGCCGTATTGGTTATGGAATTGGAAGAGAGAGTGCTGACCGCTAAGCTGAGTCAGTCAACTGCCTTGTCACCCTATATCACTCTCTCTCTCTTTACCACAACGTTAAGGGGAAAAGCCTAAAGAAACTATAAAGGGTTAATAGGTATAAAAATCGAAACTATATATAAAGGGGTAATAGATATAAGAATCTACTAAACCAAAGGGATGCTCTAAGCCTCTAACACCTCTTTTAAATTTTTTTCACTGCAAATAAGGTTCGAACCCCTGACCTACAGTTCAAAGAAAGACTTTAGTCTTTTTTTATGACCATTGAGTCAAAGTTCAGTGACTTCTTGTCACTCTATCTCAAGTAACTACTAGTACTAGTGTGAGTGTGACTATATAGGTGAATCCAAAATTTTCATCATAGATGAATCCGAATTCATAGTTTTTCATCATAAGTTTACCCATTTCATTCATTCATTAATGACTTCTACCATTAGTATTAAAACAGTACAAACTGTAAACGCAATGGAAATGTGTGGCTGGCTTTTGCATTTTCCAATACATTATAGTGTTGGGACATTTTCTGTCATGACAACCGTTCCTGCCAGTGGACGGCCATGATTTGGCCTCAAAATTTTGTGCAGCTCACATCACGTCTTGTAACTCGATTTTCACGCCAAATGTAGGGCCCACAAAAATTTGTTCTAAAGTTACGTCGTGTGCAAAGAAAGTTACACAATGTACAATTGATGTTATTCACAGTGTAAAATGTACACAACCTGCACAAACGGTTGCACCTACAACCGTTTGTGCCCCTTTTCCCATGACACATGGTCTATACTTTACATGAACACGAGAGTCATATACTTTAATTGAGCATTGAATCAAACTGGTGGTGCACGGACATTAAGGTCGTTGACAAACTATACGTGAACAACCTTTAGGCCTTGGTACTGATATTTCACTTTAACAAGCGAAACAATCCTTGAAGCTAAAGATCATGCAGATCATATAAGCCACCGACATTCCTTCTTATCGCAATTATGCTTCTCTTTTCCACTTCATTTTTCTCATAATTTCAAATGCAAGCACAACCATCATAAAAAATTCAAGTCGCAAGGAAAATGAAAGTAATTCTGGGAAAAGCAGACTATTTTGCACAATTGGTTCCAACTCAAATTCGAAGAAGCTCGATGAAAAATATTTTTTTTTAAAAAAAGGGAAGGGGGTAGGGTGGAAGGAGAATGATATCATAGAATAAGACTGTCAATTACCTCCCCATTTGTGCATGCTCAGTACTTTGGGCTGCAGCTGCGCCCCCACATTTAACCCTGAAACAAAAACAAAAAGAAATAAGTGATTATCCACATTTACCCTAGTGCAATATCTCCAATACGATGACGAGGATAATGCAAAAAAAAATGTTTGCAAGTGCCTTTTTTTTTGTACTTAAAAAGTTTGGATGGTTTTGACTACGATCGCTATCATGAGTCAGGACAGATCTTCGGAATCATAGGTCACTTACAGAGATACTTACAAATCGTCCACCAACACAGTCCTTACATCGACAGCGAGATTTGAACACACGATATTTCTGTGAGGAAGAAGCTTGTCCTTGCAAGTGCTATTCAGAAACCTGACGCCATCATTTTTCCAACAACGCTAAGAGTGGGGCTCACAACTTGATCCATGCAAGCTCTTTTTCTTTTTCTTTTTCTTTTTTTTTTTTTTTGCTTTGGTTGAGCTGAAGAACTATATATTAAAAAAAAAAAAAAATCCCCCTAAGGATAAACAATAGAAGAACAGTTCGATCTAAAATTTTTCACTCACAATATGTATATTCGCGGTATATGAATATTGTACCTAAATCCGGTAGAGGATATGTATACTGTCAATGTAAATTAATTGAGGGAAAGTGAGAAATCATTATTGAGTCTTCTAAAACAAATATATATATATGTATGTATGTATAGGTTAGTTTTTAACTTTTTCTTTTCATAAAAGAATTTTACACCGTTTACACTCGGAGGAAATAAATAGCAAAGTGGCATAGTGTCAGCCCTATAGCAAAGAAAAATGTGGTGATTTGGTCAAATTATGCGTTGCGTTGCGTTGCGCTTTCGCTTTGGCAGCGATTAATGGGAGTGGGACTGGTTTGTTGGGGGCTTGTCTTCAAAACGACGACTTAGCCGGCAAATTTGTTGACTTTGACCCATTATGCTCACCAGTTATCTCATCTCAGACCTTTTTTTTTTTGGGGGGTCAAAGCCCTTATTATCTTGCCATATTGGGTAGAATAAAGCCCACGGATATGACTCCGAGTGGTTTGGCTTGGCTTGGCTTGGCTTGGAGCAAAACAATTGAAAATTGCTACTTTAGATTTTACTTATCTTTATTATGTAATAATTTAACGTACTAGTCTTATTAACAAAATCAAATTATTAATCAAGTCACTTGGTTGTGACTCGTAAAAAGTGCGACCAAATTGGTGGATTACTTATAACCCCAAAAAATGCCACTTAGGGTGCATTTGACAAAATTGAAATCTGAAAACTAAAATTTAAAATCTAAAATCTGAAATCTGAAAACTAAAATCTAAAATCTGAAATATGAAATTTGAATCGAAAAAGTTATTGAATTGTTAAGTATTAAATCAAATACATTTGAGTGTATATCATACATATTCAATGATAAGTGAGTATCTTATCACTTATTGTTGGGAGTGAATTTTGTCTAGAAAATTCGGTGGCACTTAATTAATTCAGATATTCAACTTTTGGTTATCAAACACGTCTAAATATATTAACATCTGAATACATTAAGTTTGAATATTGAATTGCGTTATCAAATAGAGAAACTATCAAGTTACTAGTTATTTCCAACTTATCACTTAGTAACTTGTCCAGAATGAAGAAGTTTTGGGTTGTAATCCTCCCGTCTCCTTCCCGCTTCTTAAATCTCACTCTTTCCCTGCTAAAAGAAAAAATAACAAACAACTTGCAAAATGTTGAATTACGAGTTATTTGTTTCCTGGTAACTAGGCCAACTTTCACTACTAAATTCTGCAACTGCCAACTCATGAGAAACAAAAAAAATACTAGTGACGATGCTAGAGTACTTTGACCACCAATAAGGTTCCCCAAGAGTAATTTGAAATTTAAGTCAAGTGCAACTTCACAAGAAGTAACTTGATTGCTAGCAATTAGTATGGTGAGTCATGGTAACTGGTAGTGTTAGGCACTATTTACTCTTAGGTTTTAATTCATAATTCGACTTTCTAATTTTAATGGAATGACTTTTTAATCATTAATAATAGATGTTTTTGTAGCAGTAGCTACAGAAAGAGGTTTCTGTTGATAAGTGTGAAAAAATTCACACCAAAAATTTCAGACAGTGTCCATTTCCCTAGAAGTTTCAATTCTAATAGCCTCCTCACCACATTCTAATTGCCTTCCTGTTTCAATTGGCAACTAGTTGAATCCTACCATTTGGTAAAAGTATCTTTAATACATCATTTTCTACATCAAACTTTCTGGCAAACATCATCAGACCCTACCAAAGGACTCGAAAGCAGGAAACCTACAGACTGCAATTGCAAAAGGAGTGGATAACAAGAAAATTTTGCAGCTGTTTCACAATAATACCATCATTCTGACATTCAAGCCTGTATCGACTTCATGTTGAAAACACATAGGTAACGTTGGCAGTGCATATAAAGAGTCTCATCCAAACATCAGACAAGAAAAATTTAACCGAAATGTGTTATAATGTAGATATGTTTCAAGCAACAAGGGAAACTGAAATGCAGAATATCGAAACGTGAGAGAAATTGTCAGAACTGCCTGATGCAAGTTTGCCCATCCTTTTTCCAAGATGTTGGGAGACCATTGTAAATTGTTCTTCACCTCCAAGTAAAACAAACATTGGTTATCATTTATAATTCCAAAGCAGAATATTTTCAAATGGACCAAAACTTTTGCTAAGAGATCTATGCAATCATGGAAATTGCATAAATTTGACATCAATCAATACTTTTGAAGACGTACATACATAAACAGAGAGGGATCAAAGAAACAACTAACTAACCATCGACTGCGATGAATTACAACATTAAACTAAAGTCATAGGTTGTAACAACTAGTTCTGTATACCACTATTAGTCATTGTTCCATTTCCATTAGTTATTCTAAATCTACCTAATATCAAAAACTTTCGGGACTAGATTTGTTTTGGTCGAAACATTGGGGATTAAAATTACATTTCTTCCTAAAATTATCAGTGTATACACTATTATCATTAGATATTATTTTTAGTTTTTGCAGCTGTAGCTACCGGAAAAGGTTTCTTTGGCAAGTGTAAAAGCCTCGTACCAAAAATTTCAGACAGTAATGACTAGGGATCAAACCAGAGCGAAATGACCTTTGCCCCAAAAAAATCAGTTCTAATAGCATTCTCATCACATTCTAATTGCCTTCTTTGTTTGAATAGGGTACCAATAGAATTCTACCATTTGGTAAAAGGATCATTAATACATTATTTTCTGCAGAATACTTTCTGAGAAAAATATCATCAGATCCTATCAAAGTACTTGAAAGCAGGAAACCCGCAGACTACAACTGCAAATGAAACAAAAAACAGAAAGTCTTGCGGCTGTATTGACTTCACATCGCAATCACTTAGGCAACAATGACAATGAAGATAAAGAGTCTGATCCAAAGATCAGACAAGAAAAATTTAACTGAAATGTCTTATAATGTAGATATGTCTCAAGCTACAAGGGAAACTGAAATACAGCATACCCAAATATGGGAGAAATTGTCATCCAAGTGCAAGAGAATCAACAACACCAGAACTGTAAGTTGTCATCCAAGTTTTGCCCATTCTTTTCCAAGATCTTCTAAGGCCATTGTACGTTGTTTTTCACCTTCATATAAAATAAACATTGGTCACTATTTGTGATTCCAAAGAAGAACATTCTCAAACCGGCCAAAATTTCTGACAAGTGATACACACAATCAAGGGAGCTGCATAAATTTGAGATTGATCGATACTTTTACAGCTGTACATAAACAGGGAGGGATCAAAGAAACAACTAACCAACCATTGATTTCGATGCATTTTAGCATTAAAAGCAAAGTCATGTGTTGTAACAACTGCTTCCTTATACAACTATTTCATTGCAGCTATCAAATTCTCAGGTGGTTCAGAAATGGCTTTTGACCATGTACAAAAAGAAGTGCTTTTGGAGCCAGATTTGAAAAGTTAGACTATGTACAAAAAGTGCTTTTGACACTTTAATCCAAATTATGAGGGAGGTGGTTATATATAGCTTTTGAAATCATAAGTGGGTTATGTGAAAAATGCTAAATCACAGGGGGGTAAAGTGTATTTCCAATTGTTCCCGTTTCTTCCCTGTAACTCTCTTTGTACTGCTCTTTACTAAATCAATGCTCTGTATGTTTTACTTCGTTCATTAAGGTACAAGGAATTTTGACGCTTATGCTTGTCGGCTGGTCCGCAATCCCCATTAAGATCACTGCAATTTGGAATGTCATAACTTCTATCTAATGTCTATCTTTAGAGGTTCATCATCTGGAAATTTTTTTTGCATGTTTTAGTTCATAAAATAGAAAGTGAAGCTCCAAAAACTGAAATGACTGAGAAGTATTTCGCATTCAAGTTATAAGTGTTTTAATGGACTACCACAAATTTCTTAGCATTCACAAATAAAAGCACAAGTATTAGGCATGAATGTTTCTTCTAGTCACAAGATCAATGCAATGATTTAACTAGAAATTTCAGTTTCCAAAACATCAGAGAAGAGCATACTCGTGCTGTGCCATGATTAGAAGGTGATCTGGAACTCCAACAAAAAATATTGACAGGGAACTTCCAGCTTCTCAATTCTATAGCAAGTCTTTAGAGGTACTTCAGCGCTTCATACACAGCTGCCCCTCAGTAACACAGGAATACTGCAGAACCAGAGGGAACCTTTAAATTAATCTAACCAGAGTTTCTCAAGACAGCAAAATGAAATTCTTTTATTCCAACTTCCTACTTCAGAGCTAATGTTCTTGTGTTGTTTCATATTTAGAAATCCTACTTGCTTTCGGATTTTTTCCTAGAAAATCAGAAAATCAGTCATTGCCTCGTAAGGGTACGTAAGATGCAGAATCAGGACATAGGTCTGTGATAATCTTCGTGGTTCCAAATATCTCAGATTAATACCGACACTATCGCTTAACATCAGACTAATTTGTCTTAATAGATTATGGTTTGCAGCAATAGAGTTCAGCAGGAAGCCGAAGGATTGATAAAATATGCTGAAATAAAAAAGGACAAGGGTCTTACAAAGCCAAAGGCTGCCTTTGTGAATCCTAAAATTTTTAATAACCATGACCTTCTCCAATCAACTCTATCCTTAATTTTCATGAGCCATGAAATGAATCAAAATGCACGAGTTCTTTTGTTAAACTTGAACAATAGCACTAAATCTTCTCCAAATTTTCCTTGTATTAATCAGTCTTGCATGATTTTATCTAGAAGCCTACAGGAAAAGAAATCAGTAACAATGAGAAAGAAAGGCTCCTCCAAAGGATTTACAGTTTGAACTTTGAAGGAAACAACCACATGACTACATGAATCCACAACCAAGCAAGAGGACATTTTTATTGCAAATGTGAAAATAGAAGTTGACAAAAATGAAAGCACTCAATAAATGGTAACATCTAGATTATGCAATCTCCTCCCAGGATGTGAAATAATAGGAGTGCAGTCAGTAAAATTGGAATTACTTACATGATAATAGGATGCATAGCACCAGATAGATATAAAGCTCCATATCCACTAATAATGATGGACAAGGACCTCTTAATGATCTGAAAACCCCTTTTAATGGTGGATAAGGACCTTCAAATTCTCAGTTCCATATCGTATTTGCTCCTCCTCCTTGAGTCTTCTGACCGATTCTTCAACAGAATCTCCACACCGCTGCACTTCAATTACTTGCAAGGTAGTTATGTCCACAAAATCGATAGGAACCTCCCTGAGATTATCACATTTCTGCAGCACTAACTGCTGAAGATTAGGCAAATGGTCACAGGAGGCATTCCAGTCAACAATGTTTGAGTTATGTAATTTCAAGAATTTGAGTTCAGGGAATTCTCCATCTTGCATCTCCCATTGCGTGCTCTCAAAAGTTATAGAAAGTAACTTTAGAACCTCGAGGTTTTCCGGACAGCCAATTGTCGAAATGTGATCCCACCGCAAGAAGAAAGTTGATAAAGTCAACTTTCTAAGACTCAAGGGGAAGCTAAATTCACCACTACTAACACTCCTACCGATGTAGGATATCTTGAGTGACTCCAAAGGAGTCATATCCTCCAACCTTGGAAATTGGTTGCACTTCTTGGAATTATCCCATGATTTTGAAAAAATACAACTTAATTTTTGAAGATTGGGCAACCCCCTTAATATTTCCTCTGCATGTTCCCTATAAGAAAGAGATGGCGAGGAAAGGGAAACCAAGTTACTTAATTCACAGGAACTTCCAATCTTTCCATCTTGCAATGCGAAGGTAGCATGATTTTCTACATGAAGATGCCTCAGGCTAGTCATGGTCCAAATGCTATCCGGTATAGTGACCTTACCTTTCAGTCCCTTCACAAGAAACGTTTCTAGATTCTGTAAGTTGGCTAATGATGAGGGAATAGAGTCTATATCACCACCAACTGCCAGATAATGCAACTGAACAAGTAACTCTATTCCATTGGCAAAGGAATTACCCATGTTGACACATTCCAAATCCAGCACCTTAAGAAGCTTAAAGTTTTTAGACAGGAACAAAGTATCATAAGGGCATCTTGGGTATGTATCAGTGGTGGCATAAAACAGCAGAGAACGAACATATGGACCAGAAGGCCTTGACATAAAAATGTGCTTTCGACTTGCATGAACACATAATCGATATTTCTCATATGTCATGGAATCTGAAGGATCAAAATCATCAAAATCCATACTACCATCAAAAGAAGCATAAGGTTCATCCTTACTAGTTACCAGCTCCAAGAAGTTTTCCTCTTTAGATTTTAACAAGCACAAGCAATGCACAAAGCACAATGTCATGAACCCGACATGCTTTGACCCCACCCGTTGATCTTCTTTTGGTAACAATTATCAAGCTTCTACCAATCAAATCCATCAGGTAATTCTCGGCAAGACCCTCTAAGCTGTTCGAAGCTTCTTTCTGTATAAACCCTTCGGCCATCCATAGCCTTATCAATTTAGAAGCAGAAATCTCCTTGTCCTCTTCCAACGCTGCAAAGTAAAGGAAACATGCTTTCAAATCATCCGGCAAATTCTTGTAACTCAGTTCTAAGATGTCCATGCAGCGAGATTGTTGATCACCAACTATCAATGAGTCCAAGCTTTCTGCAATTTGTTTCCACGATTCATATTCCTTGCTTGTACTGTTAAGAATACCAGCTATTGCAACAACAGAAAGAGGAAGTCCCTTGCAATTTCTAGCAATTTCTTTTCCAACTTCAAATAGTTCTTCAGGATAGCTTTCCTGATGAAATATCTTCAACTTTAGTAACTCCCAGCTTTCATCATCAGAGAGTAGACGAAGATCAAGAAGATTGCATTCAGGTGTTACTTTTGAGACCACATCGCAAAGACGACTTGTCATCAGAATCCTACTTCCATTTCCATCATCTAGAAATGAGATCTTGAAGTCATCCCACGCCCTAATGCTCCACATATCATCCATAAAGATGAGATAACGATTTTTCTTCAAATGTTTATACAGCACCAAGTCCAAATCTTCATTGCTCATGGCAAGGATGGTATCATTAAGCTCAATAATGTGTCTTAGAATATCGAGCAACAAACTTCTTCTACTGTATGCTTGTGAAACACAACACCATGCACGAATATGGAAGTAGCAAACAACTGCAGGATCAATATATACTTTGAAAGCCAAAGTCGTCTTGCCAATTCCTGGCATTCCAACTATGGACACAACATCTCTCTGCTATGATCCTCTGGTAAGTTTATCGATTAGAACTTGTTGCTGGTCATTTAGAACCACCACCTCTTCATCAATGTTTGTGGTACTAGCCTGTGGTAATGAAGGCCATAATGTCTGGGGAGCATTGCAATTACCAATATCACAGCTCTCCTTCTCATGAAGATCTATGGCCTGCATCTTCATATGTCTAATCTCTTGTGAAACATGATAAAGCCACGGTAAATGGTTCCATTCAGCAGAAGCCCCAATCACAATTGAGTCAATGACACATTCTGCCTCATATGCCAGAACAATAAGATGTGTACGAAGATCTTCATGTTCCTGATTACCGATTCCCTGCTTCAAAGAGTGCCTAAAGAAAGACATCAAGATCTCCAAATCCTCATGGATGGATTCAATTTGATGGATTACATGCTGAACTGAATCAAGCTTTTGCCTTAGCAGCTGTCTTAGCTTTTGCAAAAGAAATTCAACGAAGCCAAGTTGAGGAGTCTTGGGGAAATGTAACCTGGGAATTTGAAGATAAAGCTCTTTGAACTTTGGAGTCAAAAGCTGAATTATTTCTAGCGAATCAGAAAGGCAAAAGTCCATTTTCGTAACTGCTTCTTCTGTGGTTTGATCAGCTGAAAATGAATTACAGAGAGAGAGAGAACTCTAGCAGCAACTGCTTCAATATATGTCAAGATCGGCTTCTCATCCTCCTCATTTTCCTTTGGCTGACTAAGGGTTGATTCTATCACAAATACTAGTGCCCGTGAACAGTCCAATCTGGCGCTTCATGGGGACTATCAAACTTGCATCACTGTCCAACAGCTTCAGTACAAGTGCCTTTGCCTTGAAAAGCATAGCATTCACAAGAAACTTGTAAAGTGCATCTCTTACCTTGTTTCCTATGAATTCCTCAGAAGAAGAGGATCGATAGAGAGCTTCGATCTGCCTAGGCATGTCGTCCACGAGCGCAAAGATCTGTTCTTCTGTCTTCTTCCTTGTTTGAGTGAAGGATTTCAACAGAAGGCTCAACCCTTTCTGAAGAGCTGTGATATAATCCTCTAGAGAAAGAGCGAGGAGAGTTACTGCAATCTGTTGCTCCGTGAGGAATATTTCAGCCTTTAAAATCCAAACCCTGGCAAACAAACTCACAAAATCAATTATAGAGATTGTGTTGCACTTGTGCCTGAGATTTGAGATCTCCACAATCATAGCCTTAATACTTATTGAAAACTTTTGGACATCCATGTTATCCATCTTTGGTATTTTGACAACACAATTTATCAAGGGTAACAAATCATCATGAAGACCGCGTCCTTTTTTCACATCAAGCATGCCATCTAGAAAAGTAACTCGACATTCTTCCACTTCTAGGAACTCTAGAATCAACCCTAGGAACTCTGGAGAAGCAAGATCGATCTTCTGTTGCAGATCGGACAGCAAACTTGCCACATCCTTTTCCATGTTTAAATCCATTTCTGCAACAGACCAGCACAGACAACAAACATGTGCTGTGCGGACAGCCACTTGTCCAAAACGAGCCATCATGTGTACCTTCCCATGATACCAATCATTACATGGGTGCCGGATAAAAGATTCCAAAGAGGATAGACTCCCATCTAAGGCTTTGATCTGCTTCCTCAGAGTATCAACAACCAAATCAAGTTTTTCTGAGAGTAATAGCAGACTCCATCCTATGGATGAGCAAAAATCATCCCAGCTGGAGTCACCCGGCCAGGATGAAGCTGGTTGACAATGAAAAGCATGGGAAGACAAATGTTCATAGTATGCATTCCTGATTTCCTGCTTCAACATCTCAATCTGCTCGTTCAAACTGGCAAATACATCTAGCAGTGAGCAAGGCTCCCTCGGGCAATAGTCCATCCGAAGGCAATCTCCAACGCCTCTCCAACAGTCTTCCAACCACATGTGGATTCATAAAATAAATAATACTCTCCTCTGTAATTATCTGCAAATGCATAATGAAGGATTTTCCTGAATTCTTTTATTGCAGCTGCAATTCTGGGGACCAGCTGATCCAGATTTGGGACAACCTTGTGGGCATCACTCCATGCTCGAGTATAACTAAGAAAGATGAACAAAAACCTGAATTCTTGCACAAACCGATCCATGCTCTCCATCAGAACTACATCCGGATTGGCTATTCGTGTCTGCTTCTGTCTCAGTGACCTGCAAATGCGAGTGACCATCTTGTAATCTGCAAGTTTCACTGGCATTTTCACCTAATCAAAAGCACTTCTCTCCCTAACCAGATTTCTCTGTGTTTTCTGAAGAAGCCAAGCTAAGTGATAAAAAGTTTCTTGCATCAGTCAGCTAGCTATCTGCAGGTCTTCTTTTCCCATCTCTTTTTCTTTCTTTATACTCTTTCTTATTTCCTGTTTTATTTTTGTTCCTCATCTTTACGTCGAATGGGGAGATTAAACAATGGGTAAATCTTTTTATGCTTGTATGCATGCCGCCACATATCAAAACAATGGCTTTTACGTATTATATCCTCAAGTTAAATGGCATCAGTTATCACATTCACTATTACAATGGAGAGAAAGTCAGCTGTCGGTGTCAATAGCCTTTTTTTTTTTTTTTTCTGTTTTCTTCTTTGGACAGCATCCTAAAAGAAACAAGAATGTCTAGAGCTCAGGGCCGGCTGCCGCACCCACACCGGACCCTGTAAGTGTCACCCCACAAGGGCAAATACGAAAAATACTCCTTATGATTTGCTAAATGTTTAATTTAACTCCCTCTTATTTAAAAATTTATAATATATCTCCTTGTGATTTCAATTAAATTGAAAATTAGATGGAAAACATCTAATCTAATGGTTATACATGAAATGTCAATATTGCCCTTATATAAATGAACTCTCTATGAGTTGTCGAATGTTCAATTTAACTCTCACTAGTTTAAAAAAACTACACTGTAACTCCCTACAATTTCAACTAAATTGAAAATTGAATTAAAAACATCTCACGTATAGTAGGAGCAATGTTGACATTTCACATACAACCGTAAAATTGAATGTTTTCTGTCCAATTTTCAATTTAGTTGAAATCATAGGGAGTTATAATGTAGGTTTTCAAATCAGATAGAGTTAAATTGAACATTTGTCAATCCACAGGGATTTTTTTTTTTTATATTTTACCCTTTATTTTATTTCGTGAATGCACTCCTGAATTAAAGTAAGCAAAAAGAAAACGAAAGCATATCATATCATAGCATAGCATCTTTATTCTTTACTAAGGGTAAATGTATCAAAAGAATTTTCATAAGATCTTGTGTACAATTAATATGTTAGAGCACCACTTTATTTTATTTTATTTGTTATAGCTTGTTCAATATTTATTATTAAACATAGCAATACATATGAGACAAATCTTACCCTGTTTCTTATTTTCTTTATGATGTGTAACAAGTTGCTCTCTAGGTTCAGGGAGCCCTCCTCCCCATCTGAATAAATTATTTAGGTTTGAATTTAGGATTATTTTATGGTATTATTATTATTTTTTAATTAGTATTGATAGGATTATTATTATGATTATCGGCATGCAAAGGAAAGTAAGAGAAAGCTGCACTCGCACGATTCTAGATAATGGCGAGCCCTATGATTGGTCCTCTATGTCCAGCATGTTTTCTAGTCTAATTAGGTAGTCTAATTAGATGCTTTAGGAGAGATAAATACCTTATCTTATAGGTTTCCTCTTAATATTACAGTTATGTCAAGTATCTCTATAAATAGGTATATTTAGGGTGTTTATAATTATTCTTCCATTATCAATTATCAATGAGATTCCTAATTAGTTATTCCAATTGTTGAGAGTTCTCTCCTGTTATTCTCAGAATCTTTGATTTGTATTTCGAGTTATAACGTGCCTTCTTTTTCTTTGTTCTTTTTGTGGATTTCGTTCATGAAACAAATTCTTATTACACGCTTTCACCACCTCATCACTTTATTACTTGTGGATGTCAGGAAAATTATCGAAATTAACCAAATCTTGAAATTTTGAAGTCACAAGAGCAAAATAAATCAACAATCCGGGATTTGCAAACAAAGAACCTAGTGCTAACTACTCGGATATTGGGAAACTGGAAAAAAGGGCACGGAATGGAATCTAATCTAGGAAGTGGAAACTAATACATGTCTAGTAGAATCCTGACAGTAATTAAGATAAAAGTTGTAAAAATGAATGTGGAGTCTGGAGGCATAAGCTTTTGGATAGTGGCATAGATCAAAATTACATTCCTCAAATTACTTTTACTATTTGTAACCCTGTATGCTATTTAACAGAAAAAGTGCCTCCTAGCTTCCTGTTTGACAATTAGCTTAAACTACAAGATGATAACCACTACGAAAATAGCAAAAACTTCACCAATAAGAGTTCCAGAATTGCATAACAACTTGTGAAAACATCACTTGACTCTGGAGCAAATGAGAAATTTACCTCTGCTAAGTGATTGCCTCTAGAGAAAATCTTATGCAATGCAGTTGAAAGCCAAATAATAATGATATCGAAAAGATAAAAGCATAAGAACAAGGTACAAACAAAATGAAAATGTGTACAAGAACAACGTATAAACAAATTGAAAATGTGAACTTTAACCCCTAGACTCCAACCTTTTAGAGATTGAATCCAAAGACTGCAACTCTTATGTATTCTGGAGGCTTAGCTTCTTAAAATGGCTAGTCTATTTGAGAGCAGGAACACTATTTCATCTTATTTACGAACGCGTGAGCTTCAAAAGGGTCTTCTCTGTCTCATTCATGGTTCAAAGACTCCGTCGAGACCGAGATGACTCGGTCGAGTCGTCACTGGAACGGAGCTTCCCGATTCGATACCGGGATGAGATGATTCCGAGATAATGAATCGCCGAGAACTTAGCTGAGACGGATAGAACTTGGCCGAGACGGATAGAAACGGCCGAATTGCCCCGAGTCATCTCGAGTCAAGTCGAATTTTTATTATTTTTGCTAA